GTCATATAGACATGATCAGCATGGTTACAAAATTAAACCAATTGAATCTTTACTATCGAGCATTTTTATAAAGTGCCGCACATAAGTTTCACAAATTACGAGTTTAGCTGTTGATGGCGTCATCGCATATGCAATAATAATATTCGATCTTTTATTCTCACGAATAGTGGTAAAGTTATTACGCGGACTTTAAAGCGCATATACAGTATGTGCAGTGTGATTTACAGTATAATCAATTATTATTTAAATACCTATAATTAAGAATCAGGAAGTATGTTATGTTATTATTCTCCTTCTTGACTAAAGTGTTATTAATTATGTGTCATATCACTCGATTACCTGATTTTTAGCTGATAAGTTCGCTTGAAAAAACCCTGTCCATAAACCCATCGCCGATGTTCGATAACACTTCTGATGTGCTGGAAATACCCGATCCATCAACATTAGATTATAAACTTCCTGACGAAAGGGGCGATTATGATATCACAGGTTGGCTAATTATTTATTTCTAATTCTATCCCTTAGGAAATTTTATGCAAACTTCATAGATACTCTATTATCGAATTTTGCAGCAAAACTATTCTACCTACTCCCATTATCCACATCATTGGAAGAACCTTCGAAACCACAAACGTCCTACGTTTCTCAATCACTCTATCATCTATTTCGACTGCTTGGCATTGAGACAGTTGATAATTTTATTGTGCATTTTCATGGTTTAGTATTTGATGGCCATGAGGGTGAGCCAAAATCAGCCGCGAATGATTTTGATGAATTGGTTAAAGTTTGGAAGGAAATAGAAGTACTTCAACATAAAGGTAGAATCAAAAAGTCTGGTGTTAGTGAGTTTACTAAAAATATGTTAGAAGAACTTTTAAGGGTTGTAGAGGTGAGTTTTAACAGGATTCATTGAAAAACACGTGATCTGTTATTTACTGCATATTCTACTAAAGTACGTATACTCCTGAAACAGGTTCCGCCAAAAATCGATCAAATCAACATTAAACCGTGCGAATCTCCAAATGAGA